TATAGGGGATGCTCCGTAGTTACTGAAATTATAAATTAATTACAGTATAATTAAGGAATCCTCGAGAGCAGTTGAAATTGCAGTTAAAAATGTTTTAATCGCGCATACGCGTTATTCCAATTATAAACCGAGAATTCATTAACCTCTTGTCACATGAATTTCTTTGCGAATAAACTTAACTGTGTACCTACTTGTACTATCAATAATTTACAAGAAATGCAAAGAAATGCTTCATTTATTGCTAAGTACATATTAACTTCAAAGGTAAAACATTGAAAAGAGCAAAGATATCCCTTCACCACCATCCATGTATTACAATTTTCTCTCCGTTGTTTATTCATTGTTAATTGCGCGATACAGAATCAGTTTTACTAAAATAATCTGTAAATGCTCGCCACAAGTTTCATTCATCAATATCGAGCAAGGGGTTTCGAAAATAGTAATACAACAGGGTGAGTGTTCTAAAGCCTTTCACCCTGTCTTCTCTGCACTTACTGATTTTGGTAGCCTACCAAGGTACCAAGCCAACGTTCCCGGAATTTCGTCGAGGGCACTCCACGATCGCTATCTGTTTGGCTCCTCGTAATAAAATTTGTAACGGTTTCCGTGGCTCATATGCATAATCGACGTAAATCGCTTTTACCGCGAGCGCTGCGTTAACGTCGCTCAACAACGCGTAAAATCAAGGGTGATAATTTGGAATTAAACGAATTAGTATGTTATGGCTTTGTAATTGTGTTACAGCGGGCCGGCGGTGTGCGCGGCCGCTTGTAAATTCGATAAAAGAAAGTGTTTGTGAAGTCGCTCGCGCAGCGGATTCTCGCTGTTCAAAGCCTCCCCGCACCCCCTTCCCCACGGTGTATGTACATACGTGTTTGAAATTCGCGCGACCACTTCGTTGCGGCGACGTATATAAATTAATTATTTCATTAACCTCGTTCAACTTCCATTTCAATTTGCACCGGCGGCGGGACCATGAGATTTTTCAATAGTACGTCAAGTCACATTACATCTATGCAAATATTGTCTAATCAACTATGTACGTATACTAGTCTCGGGAATTCTCACTTTCCTCCGCGATACGATGGTACTCCTCTCACAGAAGGATTTGCATTTGCTGTTGAATATTTCATGTATGCGATTGTTGGCATTCTTTCTGTGCTTTCGAGTGCATCGAGATTGCATGCTACGTTGATTATAATAAATGTCTAATGTCTTGAACTCCGTGGACAATTTTTTATACAAATGTAGAAAATTTAATTCCATTCTGGAATTTCATATTATCATTCTAGAAGATTTAGTTGAATCACAATGAATAGAATGACGTAATTTTAAAAATAATTATAATATTTCTGATTTTTCGTTTTGTAAATTCATTAACTATGTCCTTTTATACTCGATATTCATTATTTTTCATTTTTTAAGTACATAACGTATCGTTTAATATTTTTTTATTACCCTTATTTCATCACCGTATACCAATAATGAAACAGGTAGATGTAATATTAAATGTTTACCTTTGTTTACGTTAACTATTTAACGTGCTTATTGGTTTTCACTTATTGAAAGTAATATTCTGACGCGTCATCTGTTGATTCCTCGCTCGATAAATATAACTCGACGCAGAAATTATTTTCCGTGAATCATGTTTCTTGTAAGGATATTCGTTCCCAAAATTGCGAGCAACATTCAAATCAAGAAGTTTCAAAGTGTCAGGGAAATTTGGGAGAATGAGATGCGACCAACATCGGGTGCGTAATCGAGTTTGGAAAGGACTGTCGATCTGTGAACCTCCTGGAGGGAACTCTTAACGAGAGTTTGAGGAATGGTACATACGCTGAGGTCAATCGAAGGTGAAGCGTTTCATCTTAAGCAGATGTCGATGTGTGATGCGAAGTTGTTACGCTAATCCTTCGTTTCTGGAAACTTCCTGTAACTAATCGAGGAACAGAACTTCCATCATGGGAAGAACCAGTACCATATGCCTCGTGAGTTAGATTAATTGAATTGGTAAGAAATTTCCATAACATCGACTAACAGAAATTATGCATTTTTCACAATTCCAATGATTTTAATCGGACGAAAGATTTAATTTAATTCGATTTCATTGAAAACTTGTAACTTAATTCAAAGTCTCCAGTGAACAATGAAAGAAAATAAACAATTTGAAGGACGAATAAAACAGTATGTTCGTCTTTTACTCAAAACAACACTCATCGATCTCTTCGTTACCATTTGTTTAAAGAAAACTGTACATACCAATAAAACAAAACATTGATGCAATAAACAACTTGCACATTTTTCATAGATACTTTCCGCGTAAATTTGCTCTGTACATTTTAAACGAACATAGTTATCTTCAGAATGAAATATTTAGTACGAAAAGAATTCATGGGAACGCCGAAAACGAGGACCGAATACTGCGTTTAAACGAAGATTCCGCGCGACATTAAATAACATTTTATCCGAACCATCTAGAAACATTTTTCACTGTGCATAAACCATTGTTCATCGGACCGTTCTCGTATAAATGAATTTCAATCACAGACAGCGGCATCGCGGGTCACCTAGCAACGGGGCATGTTAGCTCTCGAAACGTTGCGTGGAGCGGCGGCGCGCGTTGTGAACCGACGAAATATAAATCGCGGCGCGGACAACCTGCAAGCGGATCGTAACGCCGCTCAAATGCGAACAAAGACTCGGCGAAACGAAAACAAACGAACGGAAAGGGGCGAAAAATGGAAAAGGAGGAACAGAAGAAAAGGAAACCGGCGCGGAACCGGAGGAGTTTAATGTATTCATCGCGCCGCATTAAGTGGTCGAAACGAGCGCCGACGCGCCGCGAACGCTGACACCTTCGTCCACGGCGCGGCGATGCAAACGAGAATCCGTTCCGATAATTGAAGGCACAAAGATCCCTCGACACCTTGGCGCTCCTTTAATCAGGGGGAGCCTCAAAAGAATTCTGCTCTCGAGTGCGAAAGCGTTAAACTCGCGAAAACCGATTCTTATTCTCGAAGGGTGGTCTCAGCTGATGGTTTCGCAGCTGAGGCGCGAGAATATCTTTGTCGGGGAACGGTATCGGCAAGGTGCGGATGATGGCGTTCGGGGGCGTAGAATTCGGTGGCTGACGAGTGACCACTCGTAGAATCGCAACGAGTGTCTGCTCAAAGCGAAGGGAAACACTCTTTCCGCGCGGTTTGGTTGTTTCGCCCGTGTGATCGGATAGGAGGGAGAGGTAGCCTGGCGGCCCAGGCAGGCCGTAGAGGCGGGGGAGCTGGAGGGATGGCAGGGATGGATCGAGAAACAAGAGAAACGGGGGAGAGAAAGGGGTGGAAAACAATTAAGGGAAGACGAGGAGAGGTCCGCCTTGTATGATAATGTGGTGTAACCTCCGGCAGAGGAGAACGATACGATGAAGGAGGAGGTGGAGACGACGACGTAGGAGGATGGAGGAGCAGCTCGCCGGAGGATGAGGTGGGAATGGTGGGGGGCCAGCCGCGAGAACGGGGTTGGCGGAGGTCGTGGTTCTTACTTTGCATTCCTTTGTGTGTCCTCCTGGAGCCCTCCATCTACCTACCCTCCTACAACCCAGTCATCCTCCTTCCTCTTGAAGCTTGAACTAACGCCCGAGGTTTTAATGCACTTGTCTACTCCACATACCGTTCATAAAGACATATATGCCGTCTGTTGAACGAGTGGGCAAGAGGACTGATTCTTGGAAAGAGGAGCGAGACAGAGAGACCAGCCGTTGGGAGGGGCTTAGGGGAAGAGAGAGGTTTGCCAGAGGAAAAGGGAGGAAAAGGGAGACGGACCACGCGCCTCTGCTCGAAGAAGAGAGAGACGGTGCCCCGCAAAAGAAGAGCCACGGGTAAGGGAAGGGGAGAGCATAACGATATGAAATGCATTTTAAATTCTAAGCATTCGCTCCGCGTCATGGAAAGACCTCAGCTCTTTGCTCGCATAATCCTGTCGGTGATGTACAAAAGTCGGAAAAGAACGGCGGAGAGGTCGGGGAAGAATTAAAGTGCACTGGTCGAATCAGACCTTTACCGGATGCCTCGCGGCCTAGGGGCAAGGAACTTTAGGTCCGGTGTTGACTTCATCGAGCTCTGAAGTAAGCGAGCCGATTGTCGTCTTGCGAGAGATTTGTCTTTGGAAGTTGATCGCGCTGGTGGGCGGTAGTGTTCGTATAGTGAGGTCAGCATGGCGAAAATAGTTGCAGCCCAGATATAAATAATTTTATTCTGATGAAGACTGTGGCATGTTTGTCATTACCCGTGTTCGATGAAAGTAACGGTGGGAGAATGAAGTTTGATGTACGTAACGTGCTAGGTTCTTTGAATGGACATTCATGATATTGTAATGTTTTTTGTAGATATTAATTAACGATACGTACGATATCAAATTAATTGGTCAGTATAACAAACTAGGTTAATAGTAGACTATCATCACGTTGCTGTCTCTATTATAATTATACGTGTAATTATACCGTTATGAATTTTCATTCAAATTAGTGAGTGAATTACAAATGTTAGATGCTGATACTACTGAAATTATAAATAAAATAAAAAATGAGTAAAAATACAAGAAATTTAATTAGTTTTTTTTAGTTCTGAATTAATACTGTTCAACGATAAAATAATAATCTTCTTGTTTTTCGTCAAAAAGAATTTCGACTATAAAACGTTAAATAAGGTATGTTAATCTTTCTACTAAATAAATTTTTTGGAATAATATGTCCAAATGTACAAGTCACCATGGAAATTCCAACAAAAGATATGTGTTTATAAATAAACATACATAATAGTAATAATAATAATGATAGTGAGTCGCACCCTGATATTGTTATCAAAATTTAATTCTACATAGTAATATTTATAACATTACATTGAATTACGTACACCAATTGTTTTAATACATTCTTTTCAACCTCATCAAAGTGCGTTCCATTTAATACGATTCAAACAATCGAGCTTTATAATTAATCTTTGACTTACCTTTTGTGTCCCGTTATTTGCGCACCGACCAACTGTCAGCTATGGCGTCATTCGTTAATCTACAAAACAGAGGAAATCGTTTAAAAACACATGTTATTTCCTTTGCGTATAATTTCAGAACAACGCACTCTATTTCCGAGAAGGTTCAAAATCCGCAAAACATTTAACGCGACGTGACGCGACGCGACGCGAGGTCGACGAAGTCAAGAGCGGCCGTTATCGGAATTCATAATAACATCGATTTTATCATGGACGCTTAAATTAATTTTAACCATTCGTTCACGGTAGTTTTAATTAATTTCAAGTAATTTCTATTAAATCTCCCGACCTTCGGTACCTCGGCATTATGCGATCCATATAATCTGCCCCATTGAGATCCGCAAATATTTGTACAACATTATAACAAAATATTAAATAGCTGGCCAACGGGCTGCGCACAATGACTCGGATAAAATGACCCGATCATCGAACCTTAATTAGCCAATTAAACGCGACGTTTCGTCGATCACCGATCCCGCGCGCCGCTGCCTCTGCGCTGCGCTGCGTTGCAGCGACACACGACCGGAAGAAGAAGACGGGACAAACGAGAGCGAGTAGTTCTTTTTTTTCCTTTCTTTCTTTTAAAGAGACCGTCTCACGTGCGTTGGCGATACAATGAGAGCAAGGTGGGGTTGAAACCCGTGGATGTACGAGCCCGGTACACGTCGATTCAGAGGAGAGGAGAACAGAGAGAAATCCTTTTCATTCGAGGAAAAGAAAGCGGGCGCGAGATTCGCGCTTCATTCATGGCCAAGTCTATGGAGCGAAAAGAGAGACTTATCCTTCGAAATGTAATTAGCATGTCTTCGCACAACGGGCCAGACAATGATGTCCTTTAATTAGTATGCGTCTCCGCGGCGTCGGCGTCGGCGGCTGCTGCTGCTGCGTTCCTTTCCACCAGCTATACCCCCTACCATTACTCGTGAACCCGTGTCCCTTAACCTCACCCCCGCGTGTAGACAACAAACACACGCACCAGAGACCCGCACACCCTATCCCGCGAAATCCACCAACGAACCGTGCTCGTGTGTGCGCGCGCGTGTTAACGTATCGCACGTTACCGCACACCGCACGAGTGTCAATACGTGCACCCGCGGACAGCAGGCGTGCATGCGGCCGCGTTGCACTTATCCGCAATATGGAAACACGCTGTAACGCCTTGTCGGAAAACTTTGAAATGATATTTTTAATAAATTCGTGAGCTATGTGGGCTTACCTGGAAATATGAACGTTGAGTCATTTCGAAAAATTGAGGAGAGATTGTCCTTAGTTTTTTAATCATTTGATGGAGATTTTAATAGTTTAATCATTTGAGCTGTGATTATCGATAATGTTTGATGGCGAATTGTTTCTATATTCAAATGTGATTAATGTGTAGGAAATATATAGATGATGTTGAATGATTAATCGCTTTTATTATTAATATTCAGCTTTGTTATTAGTCACAATGAGTTAATAACCTTTTGTAGACTACAGAAAGTATAGCAATGCTTTTTAGTATACTTCTACATGTTTCTTTAAAATCTTCTTCAATTTAAGTACGTAAAACCAAGATTTAAATTCAACAAGAAGCTTAACAAATTTTATTGAACATGTCAAGTTTTGTGAAAATTCAATAATATTAGTTTGTTTGTATAGTTTCGAATATGTGCAACTTTTAAATGTAGAGAAATGCACAATTAATCCACTCTAAACTTAAAGATTTCAATAAATTACTATTGTTTATTAAATAGATAAATATCGAGAAAAAATAAGTAAAATTTCGCTACTGGATGTATATCTCGAACCCCTATTTATTCCACACTCAATGAAGCCATTCGCTAGTCAAGAATTAGTACTATAAATAATCCAACATCATCTTCAATGTCTAAAACAAAGGATAATAAAAATAACCGTTTCGATCACGTTTGACGCAAAATTTACCAAAGATAATCCTTCAGTGACTGTCCCGTAAACGCGGTGAACCTTATCGTTCACGTCAAACATAGCCAAACGACGCCAAGTTAAGTCATATTATTATTAACACAGTCTTGACGTAAATATGCTTATAAGTAAACCGCGTTGCCGCAATGTATTTTTCTCTATTCGGTTAGGTCGAAGGTCGTTCTAGCGGGCACGTGTTCCCACGCCTCGGAGACCGTGGTCTATCGTCAGACTCTGGACAACGCTAGATACGTGACACGACTATGACGCATTAACGCGACACGTCGATTCGCGATTGCCGTGCGAAAATCCGTTCGCATCCTCGAGACAATTGCAAGGGGTGATGAAGGACACCAATTGCCGTTGAGCCAGCGGCAGAAAGCTACGCGACTTCCGGGACAATAATGTCTGAGCGTCAGATCGTGCGGTGGGCGCAATCGCACGCGATAAACAGCGTCGTTATCAAAGGAAAACACAGAAGCCACTTCGGAGACAATTAAAGAGGGAATACCGGCAGAAAGGTGAATAACAAATCACTCGATCCGCAATTTCAATCTTGAATTTCCTGGATTTTCAAACCCAGCGATCCTTCATCTTTTTCGCTTACACCATAATTGTGTTTTTCACGAACGGTTTCGTAACCATACGTACAAGTAATTTAATAACGTTTTAGATTTTAGGCGGGGCTATTAGAGAAAATTGTAATGAAAAACTGTTTTAAAATAACGATTTTACCTGCGGCCCTTTCTGTGGAAATTGTGGTTAATGCACTTACGCTACGCAAATTTCAATTACGTTTATAACTTGTTTATGTACTTCCTCGTTGTCGGAGTTTCCCGGGATTCTACGAATCACAAAGTCATCGAATGAAGAACTGATCCAATGTGGCTATGTAATTAAGCAATTTGCAGACATCATTCCGTGTAACTCAATGTAATCCTTCGCGATTTGAAGTACTGGATTCAATGATAGTTTTGTTAAAAAATGTCAATGGTTTGGCAAACAGATTATACAGAAAATTGTAAAACAGCTTTTACCATGCTACTTCCTTATTGAATTTTTACTCCTTCACTTAGCTTGCATTTAATTGGTTAAAATTAAAACTTCGAGAAAACTGGCTGAAATCGATAGTAAAATCAATAATACAATACGTTAATCTAAGGGTACATATTACGTTTTTTATACAGAAATATTGTTCCAGAGACTAACTTAAGCTCATAAGATATGAAAGACAGTTATTTACTTCATTTTTTAGCGAATTAAAGATTAATTAAGAATTGCATTAAATATTTCTCAGGCATTAATTTTTAATTAATCCGTTTAATTTACATACTTTGTAATATCTGAAGTCGAAATGTGTTCAACAGGATTTGCCTTAGTATTAATTCCATTTTTTGCAGTGAATAATGAAAAAGAAACTAGCATTTACGACTGTAGTTTTTTGAACAAAGAATAAGGTAAAGATTTCATAGGCTTATTGCAAATAAATCGTGAATTGTTTAAACGCTGATTTTTGGTAGAAAAACACAAATGACCCAGGAATGACGTTGCAACCGGACTTAAAATTGCCCGATCTAGGTCAATGCCGCGATTTAACGCGACCCGCGAGCCGTTCAGGGATTGAACGAATATTGAAATTACGGGAACGCAACGAATTTTTGCATAATGAGTTCGCGGGTGGCGGAGGCTGCCGCGATCACCCGTCTGGCTGTGCACGTACGCTCACGCACACGTCGCGGCCACATGAATATTTTCATTTGATAGCATTAATTAAACTGGCTGCCAGCCGATGACCTTTGAAGTTCACCGGTCGCGACATGTGTATACCAATTACCGATATTATTAATTGCAAAGAGTTCACCGATTTCGATTGCTGCCCTCCGTCCAATGTTTTTCGTAATCCGCGGAAAGATAATTGACGAAGCACACGAGATTCCACCTGCAGCTAATAAAACGTAACTTTCTTCATTCGAGTCTGGATCGAATAGTCTAATTTGCTTAGCGGGATTTTTCGATGGTTTCGATTTACTTGTGATTTCCGACCCTTTGTTTTTCCGATTTCGTGGTATTCAGAGAAATAAAAGATGTCTATCAAATACGGAGTGCTTTTGGCAAGATGTTAAGTGACATAAGATAATAATAAGATAAGTTAAAAATATTTTAGCTATAGAATAATCTTATTCTCCTTTTCGATTTGTTAAGCCATTGTGTCGCGAAGAATTGAGACATGGTTATCAGCGACATCTAGCGATGATTTCCATATTTCATCCTACATTTTGATACATCTAAGTCCTCATTCTTGTCTTTTTAATCGTCATAACAGAATGATGTTTAATATTCTTGACTCTATTGTACTTTCTAACGTAACAGAAAATTGTTAAAACATTCTTATAAATAAAGACACTAGAAGAAATTATTTTATGTAAAGAACAGACTTTTGAGAATCTCGTGTTTTAAAAAGCATAGAAAACCATTAAATTTTCATTCTAATAATTCTTCCTTTCAATCGTAGTCTTAAATCCTATACAACATAACGTAAAAACACGCATTCACCCTGAAGTAATGTTTTCATTCTACAGAATCAAACAGTAGGGAAACGTTGACATTTCCTTGCTCGCCCAAAAAGTAAAATATATTATTAGTTGTATAAATTTGATTTAGTGAAAGGACGTTTTTAACTTCACGAACGGGAAAGATTTTAAGACAAAATGAATAGCCGAGTGACAGTCGCGCTTTGCAAACACCATTCTGGAAGCCGTAGCCGTGAAAATGAAATCGAGACAATAAAAGTGGTGGAGTGCAAAGGGCAGCTCCCCTTGTTTTTGAAAGATTTGAGGCTATGTGGTAAACTTTTATGACCCTCCGCGAAGGAACCGCGCCGCTCCTAAGCTCGTTGAAACAAATGTAGCCGAATGCCGGCCTATTTGCATACTCATTGTACCGTAAGAGGTTCGCCCTAACGTCGCTGGTTAGCTGCTCGCATGGAGAAACAGGAAACGATGGCGTGGGAGCCCGAAAGTAGCGACGAAAATTGGGTGTAAGCGGCAGCGGCGAAAATCTCGCGACGAAAGAATATTTATCACCGAAACGATCCTTT